ATTTCAATTCGAAATTTATCTTTATGACAAGGTCGCGCTTGGACCACCAGACAGTCACCGCACAAGTGTCGAGTCGTGTGTTTTTAAGCACGTTGTGTACTGTAGACGTAATTGTGCATGTTCTCTGGCGGTTATGGCGTCCAGCCTCAACTCACGTTCGCAACATATCGTAATTATTTCTTTGTTCATACCATTTAGCAACGAGCTTCCAGGTGATTGACTAGGGTAAATCGTTTACCGGTCGTTTGCTCCGAGACCGCATACCTGAAGGATATATGCCGCAACATTTGCTCGGGCTCCGCGGCAGTGCTAATTTTTCCGGCGTTTCATGGAACGAATTACGGGCGTTCGGCACGCGCCTTTCCATCCTTCAGGTATCTGCACCTGAGCAGTCCTCACAGTTATCGCGTGACCACAGGCTCGCGCATTCTCAAAAGTGTATAGAGCCTCCGTAACTCTACCGGCGTGCCTTGAATCCCCTTCCTGTTTCACATTTCGGCCGCCAGACCGCGCGTTTTTGCTGCACACTTGTGGATACGCATTTAGATAGGCGGAAGCTCCCCGGTTCTCTTCTTTACGTCTTGTCCGCTGGGTGGCGTCGCTTCCTCTCGAGTTGCGAATATGGCAAAAGTTATGAAAAACGTGCTGTAACAAGTTTTTTTTTCTCTCCCTACAAATATATTCCTCGAAGCAAACAATAAATTTCACTTTTGGGCTCTTTCTTAACGAGTTGCCATATTGCCATTGTTTTGCGGAATGTCGAGGCATGTTTCTTTCTTGCAAAGTGGTACTGCCACATTGGTCATACAAACAATGTCTGCGGTCATGTTCAAAGTACATATATATATATATATATATATATATATATATATATGTGTATGTATGTACAGCGTGGACTGCGACTTTGTTAAGAAATTCTGGGAGACGGAAACTAATATGTTTTCGCCCCCGCAGCGCGTGGTTCCCAGCACCAGAGGCACGCATAATTAAAAACCAACTGTCTAAAAACAAAAAGGTCATATAAAGATTTCTCAAATCATAATAACAATAGCGATGCAGCGACCGTGCTTTCGCCGGAGCGTTTGGCGTCAATACATCCAACAGCGGACAACAGTCGGAACCATGAAAAACCGTTACCGGGAAGATTCCTTTATTGCCCACTGTAGCCGGAGTGTTCCCACCTCCCTTGTTAGAAGAAAGAGGAGAGAGACAGAGAGGACTCGCAGCCTCTCCCTCTTCGGACCTGGGTGGAGACAGAGTTCGCTTCCGGCGCGTCATTTAAATTACAAATCCGGGCCGGGGTAATTGAATCATCCCTGACGAGGCCCCGCCGCCGGGGCGGCCTCACGGAGCACTGACCAAAGTGATTCTGCAAACGGAGCCTATTTGTTGACAAACACGGGCCCAATTACCGGTGAAGGAATTAGTGTAAATGTTGAGGGGTCACTGAAAGAAAGAGGGGGGATAGAAGAAGAGGGAAACGGGAGTAAGAGAAGAGGAAGGGAGGCTCGCAATCACGGGACGGAGGGCTCCTCAGCTCTTTCGGCGTGTCGGCTTCTGTAACTGCAAGGTTTGTTGGCTTGTCTGTGCGCGACTTGTGGCACGTGTGCGCGTCCGTGGTGGAGTTTAGTTTCTTAAAAGCCACAGTCGCTCCGCTCACACGTCATACAAAAACACGCGGTGCAAACATGATGGCGGAAGGACCTGCGGACATCCCCTTGAGCATATTCGGAAGCACGTTCGTCTATGTTCGAAGTATACGCATGCGTTTGCTTCGAACATAGACAATTGTTTGTGCGACCATACAAGGAAGGAACACGCCTCAAAAAATATTTTAAATCTTTTTTTTTTTTTTAATGATGTGTGTTGCGGTTTTAGGGACAAGCTGTGTGATTTCAATTGACTTTGTCTCCGCGGTGTTTCTGTTTCGCGCTTTTTTATTTATTGTTATTGCTACTAAGTGTGCCCAAGCGAATACTAAGTGTGTCCAAGCGAAGACCACCGGGAAGGGGCTGAAGACCACTTCCCGGTGGTTTTCAGCCACCGGGAAGTTAGTCTTCTTCAACGGGTATCTAGCGTCTTCGCTGTTCAGCCAGTGGCTACTAACCTACAAGCACGTTGTCTTCCAGCTCAAGACAAACTCGACTTGCACGAGCGCAAGAGTGTTGCGCGGCAGTCATACTTGCGAAGTTCATTCTTGTAACTTCTGTGTAAATCTTTTTTTTTATTAGTTGGGTTATTAGCACTGCTCGTACAACGTGCCAAGTTTCTTTTCGTTTTTTAGTTAGATCTTTATGTGTTTGCTTTTTATGCGAAAGAATTTTATAGAAATGAGAGTTATGGCGCAGACGAACTGGGGATGCGTGGTTACTAGAAAAGCACGGAGACACGGGGCATCTTAGGCCGCGCCATGGGAGTAAATCCGTGAAACCGATCTGACCAAATTGGTAAACGGAAGTGCCTCGTCCTCGTCTGCAAGTGTAAGAGGTGCTACTGCAGCGTAGGCTCATCCGGTGGAGTATACGAGCGTTCCACATTTTGTCATATATGCGTAACTTCGCTGTTTGCGAATCGATTTAGAAAACTAAGGTACCAGTTGAATGGCCTTTTTTTTTTTTTTCTTTGCTAAACAACGCGTACGTACGAGAAAGAGCCTTCAGCTCTACTTCACTTGAGCGTATAGTAAAACCAAGTTTGGAAAAGATTGCGTTTTCTCTGAGACTTTTACTGAGTTGTGAGAAAACAAACAAAAGAAAACGTGCGCCGCCCGGGAATTTTGCATGACCACCGGCGTACAGGAGTTGTAGCTCTTTTTTCTGTATTGCTACAAAGTTGTTGTGTGTGGTTTCTTTTCTTTCTTTCTTTTTTTACATGTATTGTTAGTTTTAGAATGGATGCTTGGGCGAGTTGGGTAATGTAGGAAATAGCGCAAACGGCGTAAACTCCCTGACACTGAAAATACACGCACACCATAAAAAAAAAGGTGAGGGACCTTTTTTCTGGTGTCTGTGTTTGCAGATACTAGTATTCTTTGGTGTTTTATTACCAACTCAAAAACTCGTTTCTTTACACATTCTGAAAGGAGGAGGCAACCCTTCCCTTCCCTGCGTTCGTCTTTCCTTCCATCGGGAGCACTAAAAATGAACACGTTAGGGCAACAATGTTAAAAACATGACCATTTTATTCGTCTAATACCCGTACTGAAAAAGAAATAATAACACGACGTCGCCCATGTTCTCAGTTCACTGTCACTAACATATTACGTTTGATCGTTAAATTAATAGCCACCTCAGATAAACTGAACAATCATTTAAAAGACGTTATAATATTTTCTCGTTCTAATATTAGAACAGAAAACGCACGCGCGCATAAACCCTGCGGCAAACCTTACAGCGGGGTAACAAATCCGGTCATCGTCTACGTGGTAGGAACTAGAGCGGAGGAAACTCTGTGCGCAGGGCAAGTTCTTCTGCTTTTTGCACAGAAGTTGCGACGATGTCAGAACGCCAAACTCTTATTGGCTGATTATATATATATATATATATAATCAGAGCTCGGCCAATCAGAGCTCGGCATCATTCTGACGTCACCGCAACTCCCGCACAAGAAGCAGACGACTTGCTCTTCTCATACGCTAGCTAATCTTCAGGGCTATACAATGTTACGCCATGTCTACTCATCTATGAATCTACTTTTGCGTAAGTATCGCGGACATTGTGAACTCACTGTCGCCGTAGAAACTTCTTCCGCGAGCAGCGATGTCGCATTAGAGAGGAGTCCGACCGCAGACGACACTACGATCTGAGTGGGCCAATCAAGAAGCACCAAAAATGCATCGTCACTGCGCTGGTCGCTTTTGTGCGTTCGCTATTGCGGACGAAACCAATCACGCACGGTGAATGTGCCGCGCTCCTGCGCGGCTTGATTCTAGTTACGTCTGCAATCACTCGGCAGTATTTACACAAAACAATCGTAAACATAGACAACCGGAGCTATACACCTGCCTCGAGAGTCAGAATATACCTACATACGTTTAAAGCCTGTGCAAGTTGTAAAGGTGTTTCAACGCCATTTTTTTTTTTTTTACTACAAAACAAAATTAGCTTCGCAATGATGTTCTTTTGTGACAAATTCGTAACATTCCCGTGTAAAAAAAAAAGAATAAAAAATATTTTTAGAAAACCTGGGTTTGACACGCCTAAAAAAAAAAGAAGAAAACGAAAAAGCGCGTCTCGCTCAAGTGGGGCGAGCGTCTATTGATGAAAACAGGAATAACCCCGAATTTTTTCCTTTACCTCGGAAAAGGCAGTTTCTAGAAATATCTTTCGTGTTTCTCGGGGATCGAGTCAGTCACAGCTACTGTTGTTCGGCCACTTGCAAAGGCAATACGAAGTAGTAATCGATGAGCATTATTAGTGTCTACCTCGAGCAAATATTCGCGCGTAACCTTAGCCTCGCAGTGCACTTGAGACCAAACATGAAGCAGTTCCTTGGAATCACTAATCACATCAACCGTTCAACGATTGCAATCAGTCTATATTAAAGAAAAACGAAAGGAAAGCAACGTTGATGGAGTGTGTTTCCTAAAGCCGCAGTACCGCATACTGCTCATATACATCATACAAAAGGCATTTGCTGCAGACACGACAAAAGAATGATCTACGGCCATGCTTCAGAAGTATATTTTTTTCCATACGTATGCCTGCTTCGAACATTTCTGCAGACGGTTTTAGTCTGACCAATGGGACCCTCAAACAAGGAAGAAACAAAGCCCCAGGAAGTGTCTGCTGGATGTCTTCCGTGTGATGTATATTTGCAGTAAAACCGCGGCTTCGATCGCGGGCTTTCAACGTTTTTCGTGTAGTTTTGTTTTCACGCACAGACGGAACTGTTGCCTCAGCAGCACAGACTGGATGGGGTCCACATCCCGCGTCCATACACCACACCACTCAAGGTTTGTGCCTGCGGTGGCCGTAGTACCAGTCGGCCGACATCCTATGTCACAGTCCCAGGGCGGCCGCGTGCTTCTGAGCCTTGAGCCTCAAGTCCGCGATGCTCGAGTTCTTCGTGGTCAACCTTTCGGCGGCCATCAACGCCGTGAGACCGAACGGGTGCGTCGGCGTCGGGTAGAAGAGCAGGCTCGCCGGCGACGGCGCCGGATGACCCGACGCTGCGGCGGCGGCGGCGGCGGCCGCCACGGCCGAGTAGTGCTGCGCGGCCGCCAGCAGTCCCGCGGGGTCGGTGTAGGGCAAGAAGGTGGCCGAGGCCGCGGCGGCGGCGGCCGCGGCCGATGTGCTCGTCGGAAGCAGGAGCCGGTCCGACGACGACAGGCGGGACGGCGGCGGAGGTGGCGGTGGCGGCGTGGCGCTGACGCTGATGTAGGGCGCGATCCGGGACGATTCGATCGGCGTGCTCGTCGCCATCATTATGCCTGGAGAGGGGCGGAGAGACAAAAAAAGCGGGAAAATCGGTGAGAGGTCATCGGGCAGACAAAGGAATCGCGACGTGGTACGCTGCTCGACATCATACAAAAGACATGATAACAAAATTTTCTGCGGATACGTCTCCAGCATGTTGACCTCATACATTTGTGCGCTTCGAACATCCGACAGTTTTTATATGACCATTGTGACAGGATCATCATGCAAGGAAGAAACGTGCTTCAGGCAGTGCCTGGAGTCTGTCTTTTGCATTGTGTATTGACAGTGTCTTACTTTTCTTATCTCTTTTTTTTTTCAAACCGTTATGGATATCTCGACCAGAATTAAATCAATTATAGGAGGGGCAAAATATCCGGTTATAGTAAATAAATTACAGGAAGATCTATCGGTGGATTCTTAGGGAGTGCGTTAGCATGACCCTTGCGGAACGTCACACGCGCCCCCCTTCGGGAAACGCTAACGCTGACCCCTCACTTCTCTGTTTTGGCTTTCTCTTTTATTCCTCTATTTTTGCTGCCTATTTTTGGCCTCGCTAAGGGCACACTGTTAGCGTTCCCCAAAGAGGGACGTGTGCGGCGTTTCTCAAGGAATATGCTAACAGATTCACTACGAATCCGCCGCGGTATCTTCCTGTAATTTTTTTCATCCCCTTTTTGTGTACTCCGCCTTTCAGAGTACGTCGACACCCTTGTATACGGTCATCAATCATTCATACGATTCGTGGAAGGAACGGCATTCATATTACTCGTCCAAGGAATCGCAACCATCGTTCTAACTACACACACACATTCCAGCGCAAGGACCGCTGATACGGAAACCCAGGGCGAAGAACAACCGGCGGCGGCAGAGCAGTAACTGAGCACGCCCGCATTCCACCGCGCCGCGGAGAGTCCTCCTCTCTGGCTCCGTGCCAGCTGTGCGCGTGACCTTGCCTAAAACGAAAGGGCTCGTTTTGACGAAAACCCGGTGGTGTCTGTCAGTTTGTCAGTGCCGGGGAGAAAAAGAGAGGTTGACGCTTCCTGACGTCAGGGCTTCGGACCAACGGAAGCATAGCACGCGTCACCCTTTCCCCCTCCTTCTCCCTGTCTCCCCGGCGCTGAAAGACTAAAGACACCGCCAGGTTATTACACACACCACAGTGCACTATAGCAAACAACACTCACACCTTACACACGAAAAATAAAGCAAAATTCAAACAAACCGCGCTGACTGACAACTCTTTTTATATAACTTTGTCTTCTTCAACCTCTAGCACCACCGAATTTCCCAAATCACGCGCACCGATCGGCTTCGGTCCGAGCGCGGCTGATGTTATGGGCCGAAGGGCCAATCAAACAGCGAAAGAGGCACAACGTCATCGCGTGCTCTCTGCGCTTGATAAGACTAGCCGGCGGAGGAGCGCGCACAGAGAGACGGCGAATACCGGCTAGTCCTATCAACTGTAGAGAGCACGCCATGACGTTGTGCCTCTTTCGCTGTTTGATTGGCCCTTCGGCTCATAAGATCGGCCGCGCTCGGACCGAAGCTGAAACAAAGTATAGATGCCTAAAAAATTTTTCTCTTTTTCTGTCAGGTGTAAAGATGGTGTACTAATACAGTTGTTATAGTTCCTGGCGATATGTTCTGCTTCGATAATTTCTCTAGTTAATTGGTTACTGTTCCTACCTAAAATTGTACAGGATGGCAGGTGAACGTCGCACCCACAATCCCGGCAGTGTATGCCTAGATGCCCTGAGTTGGCTCTGGAGCTGCCATCCTGTACAATTTTACAGCCCGCAAAAAGTAAGTCGTTTACAGTATATATATATAAATTCACGTGGGATACAAGACTCACGTGTGTCTTGATTGTTCAGCAATGTTCACAGCGTCAAAACACAAACCAATCAATTAAAACGCATACTCGTAACCAAATTACTGTCGTGCGCACATAATCGAAACTTGAGCAATATTTTGTTTTATATCTAAAGCTCGCATGTCGTACTTCTTCAGGGTGTTATTCCCGTATAAGATATTTCCTACTAATGGAAGAAATGTGAGACAAAAGTAGCAGGCCATAAAGAGACTCGCAATTTAACCGCAGTAATATATGAAAGTGAAAAAAGAAAAGAAAAACGTAGGCGAGCAGGTGAACTAACTTCATACTGATAAACCCGAACGCTCTTTTTCGCGTGAGTTGAAGCGAGGTGGCGCCAGTGTGCAAATAGCCCTCAAATGCTTCTGGTTCCCGACCAGACGGCGAGTTTCATAGTGTTTGAGAGATTAAATCTTCGCGCTATTATCGGAGAATGCTAGACCATGCCACTCTTACATATAATTCACTCTCATAGTGAAACAATGATGCGTAAAAATTTATAAAATATACTCGGACCGGAAGTGCGCCAGGGCTACCGAGTAGATGGCTCCACTCCGTTTGTTGCAAAAAGAAGAAAAAAAAGAAGAAAAAAAAGGGGGCGGGGCGAATACTGTTACCACACACAGCGTCTTAAATTGGAACATTTCAGAAAGCGGGCCGGAAATCATTCCGGCCCGCTTTCTGATGCGGCTTAATAATGTTTCTACACAATTCGGCCTAGTTATTATAACAGCCACCCCGGTTCTCCTTGGGACTGGTGCGCTTGGTGACAACTTGTTGAGCCTACAGCCTCGAGATCCCTGCTCGGTCCCTCCCTACGAAGAAATTTGGTTCATCCCGCGACAACTGTGTTGGTGGCGGTGGCCTCGCGTGGCTTTGGCGTTTGCGCGGCGGCGCGATGTTGCGAGACGCTGCTGGGGCGACTACTATTACTTCCACTTTCTTTCTTATCTTTCACTCCCCCCCCCCCCCCCCCCCCCCCCCCCCACTAAACGTGACATACTCGGTCACTGGAAGTTGCCACTTGTCGTTGTTGTGCGTCCCTTTGTCCCTTCCTCATATTCAGTATCACTTCCTTTGATTTCCTGTCTCCAATACTATCACTCTCTGAAGCGAAAGACAAGGAGGGGGGAGGAGGAGGGGGGGGGGGGGAGATAAAAGCTTGTAAGTGAAAGCCCGTAAACTGTATCCACCTGTCTGATACTCCGTTCACTCCTAAGCTGACAGTGCGGTGGAAGCTACGTGCTCGTTGGACCAATCTTACGTCTGTCTTTCGCCACGTGACCAGGCCATACCGACGCGCAGAGAACTGGGTCAGGTAATGAAACACCCTTTCATTACCCGACCCAGGTGATTGGTCCGGCGAGTGCGTAGCTTTCAACAGGCTGTCAGCTTCCGGTGAACAAAGATCCTACTTTCTTTTTGGCGATAACAATCTCCAGGGCCACAGACCCTTTTGTCACCATTGTCCTCGTGCCCCCCAAAATGCTGTGGAAGCATCTGGACCCCACTTGAGTTCGTCCCCAAAGAACAGTGACCTCCAGACACATCAAGGTGACCTCAATCTCCGTGCTACACCGCGTATGCGCAGTTCCAGGATAGACCAGGACGGGGTCGGACATCGCTAAAGTCGCCCCCTTTTCCGGCTTCTTTCGTAGTCAATTCTCGAAGCCGCTGCATCCGTAAAGATGAACATCGTCGCCACGCTATTGCTACTCCTCGCCTTCCTGCACCAGGCCTGCGACATTGACGGACTCCTGCTCGGCACCCTGCTAAGCCTAGCGCTTCTGCCGTACACCATCATCTTCAACATGGCCGGGGTTGCTGGAGTCAAGCTGGCCATCGCCGTCAAGCTCCTGGGCCTGTTTGCTTGGTGGAGGGCCGGGATCAGCGAAGCCACCATGAGTAGACAACTGGATCTAAATGCGTTGCCGACATTGCCATCCCTCCCGTTTCCAGCGGGAGCCGTCTCGCTGCCCGGAATGGGCGACTTGCCTCTTCACATGATTCCGGGCATCTTGGGCGAAGTAGTGCGAAGCATGCTGCAGGACGACAATGTGGGAGCTGGATTCTTCCAGAGGACGGCACGAAACGAAGATTCCAGCTTCACGGGAAGGCAAGACAATGGGCCGTTTTCTTACAGTGAATTGGAGCGGCTACGACGGACGCAGCAGTTGCTTGCGAAGGTCAGTTCAATTTTTTTTTTTTTTTTGTGCGTATCTCTCGTCTTAAGGCTGCGGTCCCACGGCGGCCATGACATATGACGCTTTCAGCACGTTTTCGAAATGCGATCGTGGCGTGTTCAAGCTTGCTAAAATTATGTGTTATATATCATCTTGTAGTGTACAACATTATCTTTTATCTGATGTAGGATTTGTTTTCCTAGTGCAAAACGCTAATTCAGTGGGCACCCGCGAACATTGGCCTTTTCGGCAAAACATGGTTTCGTAGTACAGTGGTACAGGGTGCACTATTGGAGCAATTTCTTTCAAATTTTAGAATGTTATAGAAGAAGAGTGCGTTCATTGTCAACGGAGGCCCTTTTTTCGTTTTTCATTTTATTTTGACAGATATTTACTTTAGAAAAATTGACTTTGCGGAAGCACTTCAGTCGCGAAGTTTTGGGCGCCTACTCGGTCATTTTATTTGAAACTTTTTACATCATTTTGTAATTATGGTCGAAAGAGTTACGCTAAATTTCATTGTAATATGGCTTAAACCTTTTTCGGAATGCTCACGTGAAAAGTGACAAAAACCGTTAATTTTGGCAAACTTCATTTGGTAGTACAGTGGTACAGCGCTTAGGGATTGGCACACATGAATAAAATTGTAGGCCCGCAAAGAAAAACATATTCTGCTTTGCAAAGCGAGGCCCTTTTTCTAGATTTCACTTTTGATTTTCCATAAAAAAAGTTTGAATATAGCTGAAATCACGTATTTGTTGATAGTCAAAAACGAGTATTTTGACCCCTTTTGGCAGACATTTAGGCCGATATTTTAGTATTAAATGGAGATTACTGTTCCAGGTCCTGATTATTAGCCCACATTTTCACTAATCGAGCCTATTTATTTAAGAAAATCATAAAACATACAGAAAACACAAATTGGATGTCTGGTTGCGCCCTCTATGTGGCGGTG